GGTCGAGATGGACGCCTCGCGCTGTACCAAGGATCGCACCGTCTCTGCGCCATCGGCGTCGACATGCCGCGTCCAGAGCTACGAGCGAAAATCCCCGCCTTTGGGTCCTCGAGCCCGATCGCAGCGCGCCCAGACGCCCCCAGTTTTGATGTGACGGACGCGATGCTCAACGAGACGCTTCCACCCGTCGGAGTACCGACGATCGCGGCCGGGGCCGCGCCTCTGACGTTTCAAGTCACATACAGCGACGGTGGCTGCCAGCAATTCCTCGTGCCGCTCAGCCTTGCGGCCTACCCGCTATTGAACCGCGCTTTTGCCGTCCTGGATGCGCTGCTGCCGCCAAAGTTGGCGCTGGCATGGCGCCTGCAGGTGGTCGCGAGTCCTGAGCCGTGGGCAGCGTTTCAGAGCGCACTTATGCCACCGGCGCCACCAATGAAGCCGCCCATGTCGGCGTTCGAGAGGTTGCAAGCATCCACCTTTCACGACACGTACCACGGTCTTCCGCGCTCCGGGCCTCGCACTACGCGCCGATGTCTCCGTGCCGACGCGGTGTCGACAAGGGCAACACCCGCGCTCGACGAGCACATACCAAACATCTTTTGCGGCCTGCACTTGCTCTACGAAGACTTGAAGCTCTCGAGTCTTGTCTCGTCGCTCTTCGTTCCGCTCGGTGATGTACTGCATGCTCTCGCGAGCACTCATGGCTGGACGCTGTATGTCGCACACTACGCGGCCGACCATGGACCGCGGGCGGTGGTATCAGCAATCGCCGCAAACGCGCTGCCCGATCCCTTTCAAGGCCGTTGCGACGCATGTCCTGTCGACATTTTCGCGTGGCTCCAGCACAAGATGGCTACGCATCACTTCAACACGATGGAAGCCAACAAGAAACAAGGCGCCGCACGCCGTGTAGACGCGTACCCGACGCTGCCGGTCTTAAAGCGAACGGCGACTGTGATCGAGCTCTACGAGGCTCTGTACCCGGACGCCCCGATGCCGCTGCACGCGCGGGCGAGACGCGTTGTTTCGCGTCTCGCGGCGCTTTCGTTGCCGTGGGAAGACCTCCCGATTGGCGTTGCATTACCCCTCAAGTACGCTGTGTACATGACGACGCACTTTCCCGACGCGGCGCTGTGTCCGAACGAGTGCCGCCTTGTGAACCGCGCCGACTTGCTCGCAGAGCACGAAGTGCCACCGTGTGCGCTTCCATTGATCGACAAGGACAGTCTGGACGCATCAAGGGACAATGACGACGGGTTTACCGACGTCGTCCTTGCGAGTCAACCGCTCTTCCCTAAAGACCAGCGGCTCAAGGAGGTCTGCCGACTCCTGCGCTCCAACAAGCCCATGCTACTCAAGGTCCAACGCGAGGCGCACCATTCGGACGCGGACGTGCTCTCGCTGCAGCAAGCACGGCTGCTCTTGCTCTGTAAGCGCTCCATGAGCTTGTCGGTCGCGCGTGGGATGGTGACGCTCGGGAGCTTGACCGCGCAGCAGTCGTCGGCGTCGCCGTACACGGCGCGGCTGTCCATTCCGCAGCTGCCACTCACAGCGCGTGTGTCGGGCACGAATGCCAAGACGGTCCTCGATATCTCAGGTTACAAGGAGATTACGCATTGGCCGCAGTTCCACAATGGTGTCGCGACTGCCTTGCGGCTCTCGCCGCATGACCGCGTGACGGTGCAGTGGGTGCTCTCCCACCAGCCCAAGCCGAATGCGGACGAGTCGGACGAAGCCGTCCGCTTGTACGAAGAAGCGTGTGCGGGCCACGCGGGGTTTCTCTTTGGTTTGGGTCTCCAAGGCCAGCTGCAGTGCCAGTCGCCGACTACGACGTACAAGTACCTCTCGCTTGGCGACGAGCTCACGTCTGTCGGCTTTCTCCTTGGCACGGCCGCGAGCACTCTCCATCACCCCAAAGACATGAACATTGAGCGCGCGGTCTCCAAGATGCTCTCAATGCACATTCCGTCGCTGTGGCCACCGTCCTTTGCGCATTTGCATGTGCCGGCGTCGGCTCAAACCGCCGCCATCATGGGCCTCGGGCTGCTCTACCAAAGCACGGGCAACCGGCTCATGACAGAATTCCTCCTTACGGAAATGACCCAAGGCCCTGTATTGACAAGTGCCGGAGCCTCGTCGGGCACGACCGCGACGCCGTCGACCGAGGCCGTTCAGTTTGAAGGCTACGCACTCGCAACCGGCTTTGCGCTCGGACTCATTCTGCTCGGACGAGAGAACGACCCGGGGCTCGTGGACCTCAACTTGGATGCCAAACTCACCAAGTATATGCTCGGCGGTGAGAAGGAGCGCGGCCATGGATCATGGGCACCTACCGAGCTCAACTGCGTCCTCCGCACGCGCAAGCTGCTCCAGCGCGAGCTCATCAACGTGGACGTGACCGCGTCGGGCTCGGCGCTGGCGCTCGCGTTCATGTACATGTGGAGCAATAGCGCGTCGATCGGGCAGCGGCTTCACGTGCCGTCGACGCTCGTGCTCCTCGAGACCATCCGACCCGATGTGCTCTTTGTGCGTGCGCTGGCGGCCAACCTCGTACTGTGGAGCAGCATCGAGCCGACGCGCGCGTGGGTGATCAACAAGCAACTACCACCGCCGCTTCGACCGACGGGACTGCTGCACTGGGCCGCAATCGACGACGGCGGCGATCCGGCAACGATCCAAGAGGCATACGCCAACGTTATTGCTGGCGCGTGCTTTAGCATTGGCTTGAAGTTTGCGGGCACGCATCACCCAGACGCCAAGAGCGTTCTCATGAGCTTCCTGGACGAGTTCCAGCTCTGGCGCGCCAAGCTCGGGCGGACAGCCGACGTGAGCCGCGTGACGCTCGAGCGTGTTCTCGGAACCATTGCGCAGTCGCTTGCGCTTGTCATGGCCGGCACGGGGGACCTCGAGTGCATGCGCCTCCTGCGGTCGCTTCTCTTGCGCCAAAAGGTCGACGCGCACGGCGACATTACGTATGGCAACCACATGGCCATGAGCTCGGCGCTCGGCCTTCTCTTTCTCGGTGGCGGTCGTTGCTCCGTGCGTAGCTCCCGCCTCGCAACAGCGACGCTCGTCATTGCCTTGTACCCTCTGTACCCGACCAAGACAACAGACCAGCGCTACCACTTGCAAGCATTTCGGCATCTCTACGTGCTCGCGATCGACCGGTCGCGACTCGTGCGGGCGCTGGACGTCGACACGCACCAATGGACACCAATGCCACTCCGCGTGTGGACGCACTTCAGCAGTGCGCCGCTGGAGGTCCGCACGCCGACGCTGCTTCCCGCGCGAAGCATGCTGCGCCGGCTCGAGACGGCTGCGAATGATCATTTTCCGATCGTTGTCGACTGGAGCACGGCCGACGACAGCCGCGCACGACTCTTGGAGCAGCAAGGCGTCTTGCGCATCAAACGCAAGCTGGGCGCCGATGCGCCACGCGCGACGTTCTTCGCGTCCTTTTCAAATCTCTTTGCCACCGTGTTGACGCAGGCGTCGGACACCATGTGGATTGCTTTCTGCGCGCGCCTGTACGAGGAATGCAAGCGCGAGAACAAGCCCGACTGCGTCGCCGTCTATCTGAACGCCAAGCGCTGCGAGGTCGATGTACTCGAGCACCGCATCACGCACACGCTGCTCGTCGCCAACCTCCAGCTTGTGCAGCTGCACATGGAGCTCGACGCGCACATGTTTCAAGCCCGTGACGACGCCTCGGCCGAGCCGCACGATGTTGGGCGCCTTGCGCAGCTTGTGAACGAGGACTTTACCCTCGGCTACAGCAATGCACTCTTGGCGTTCTTCGAGCAATTGGAGCTGCCCATCTCCATCGAGACAAACGAAGCACCCGCGTCGCTCCTGCATGCCGCGTACCGTCGATACCTCGGGTCCCCGCTTCTCGCCCAGCTTGAATAGAAGACTTCGTCTTTGATCTATCCTTTCTCGATTCTGTTCCCATATCCACCAAAACGGCAGCAAGCTCACACCAAACAGAAATGCAGACACATGAAGAAATTAAATTGATAGATTCGATACAAACTACTCTAGTTGCCGAGCTCGTGGAGACGCTCGAGGCGGTGCTCGGGGTGGTGCTCGCACATGAGCGAGTCGTTCTGGAGCGCGGTCCACGCCTTCTTAAAGTACGGCTTGGCGGCCTCGTCCTGGCCGAGCTCGTGGAGGTTCTCGGCCATCTCTTCGCAGACGTAGCCGTCGCAGTCGTCGATTGACGCGTACTCGGTCTCGAGCTCGGCGAGGACCTTGATGGCGTCTTGGTTCTTCTTGGCCGCGCGCAGACCGCGGGCCACCATCCACTTGGCGAGGCGAATGCACTCGGCGTCGCCAATGGCCT